AACCCAAACTAAAAGCCCAACATCACCAAGCCCAAAAAAAGAAAAAAAAACTCATCCCAACCTAAGATAAAACCAATCACGCGGAATCCGATATATATAAATTTAATTTAAAGTTTAATTTAAAATTAAATGAAAATCTCCTGATTCGAGACTAACTAACCTGAGGGACTCGGGAAGTTACATGCGGAGACAAGATATCCTAGTATTGAAAAGTTAGCTTTGGCCTTAGTCACGTCGGCGCGAAGGTTACATCCGTATTTTCAAGCTCAAAAAATCGTTGTTTTGACTAATTTCCCCTTAAGACAAGTTTTTGAAAAACTTGAAACATCGGGAAGATTGACGAAATGGGCATTAGAGTTAAGCGAATACGAAATCTACTTTGAGCCTCGAGTATCACTGAAAGTGCAAGCAGTGGCCGATTTTGTGGTTGAGCTAATGCCGAGTCAAGTGGCAACGGATTTGAAGCAACAATGGACTTTATATGTCGATGGTTCATCTAACGAGAAAGGATGTGGGGCTAGAACCCTTCTGCAGTCCTCCGAAGGCACGCGATTTGAATATGCATTGAGATTCAATTTCAGAATGTCCAATAATGAAGCTGAGCACGAGGCCTTACTGGCTGGACTCCGGATGGCCCAAAGTATGGGGGCAGCTTGTTTATTGATTCTTAGTGACTCTCAACTCACAAATTAGGAAGAATTTCAGGCTAAAGATGGTAAAATGGCCAAATACCTAGAAAAGGCACGAGCAAGCTTGGCAAAATTTAAAGATTTTGTAATAAGACAAATCCCTCGTTTAGAAAATTCCAACGCTGACACCTTACAAAATTGGCTTTTGCATATGAAACAGAATTGGCCGACACTGTCCCTGCTGAAGTGTTGGGCACTCTAGCAATAAACGAAGCAGACCAATGCGATGTTACTATACGTACACAATCTTGGAAGGGTCCAATAATAGAGTTCCTTCAGGGAATACAGCCGGATGATTGGCATGAGGCAAGAAAGTTGAAAGACAAGAAGCGTATTATCTACTCTTAGATGAGGTACTTTACAAAAGAGGATTTTTCTTACCGCTCCTAAAATGCTTGGATCTAGGTGAGGCTGACTACATAATTTGGGAAGTCCATGAAAGGGTTTGTGGAAGTCATTCTGGAGCTCGAACTCTAATGGCTAAAAATATCCGACAAGGGTTTTATTAGCCCATCATTAGCAAAGATACGAAGAAATTTGTACAAAAATGCGATAAATGTCAACGTTAAACTGACATACTCTAACAACCCCAGAGAATTTAACGCCCATTTCAAGCCCGTGGCCATTTACTTAGTGGGGGATCGATCTGATCGGACCTCTTCCTATTGGAAAGGGACAAACTAAGTTCGCTATTATTGCAGTTGATTATTTCATAAAGTGGGCAGAAGCTGATCCACTTGCAACAATTACGGAAGCTAAAGTCACGAATTTGGTAAGGCGAAATATAATTGGTCGGTTCTGCATACCATATACAATAATTATTGACAACAGAAAACAGTTCGACAACGCTAAATTTAACAACTTTTGTTCAGAGTTGGGAATTAAACATGTTACTTCATCACCAGCACACTCACAAGCTATTAGACAAGTTGAGGCTGTGAATAAAATATTGAAACATGAACTTAAAGTGAGGCTAGAAAAATTGAAAGGAAATTGGCGGAGGAACTCCCTAGCATCCTATGGTCCTACCAAACTACGCCTTGGGGTTCCACGAACCAGACACTGTATGCCCTTGTGTTTGGTTCTGAGGCAGTAATTTTGGTAGAAATTGGGTTGCGATCAGAATGAACTGGAAGATAGTTCGACGAACAACAAAATTCGGACGAACAGCAAACTTGTAGCCCTGCTCTCTGCGGCGGCGTTTCTCCATGGCAAGTCGCTTTTCCAGAAACGAGATTCTCCTTTCTAGGGAGTGCTTTTCTTCCTCCCAGGTCTTCTTCTCCTCCTTCAGTTCTTTACACTCGAATTCAAACTGGAGGGACTTGATGATGCATTCCTGAACATTTGCCTCTAATTGTGAAATTTTTTCTACTGCCTTCTGCATCTTGTTTCAAATGGAAGGGTGACTATGACTAGAGGAGGGTCATTCGTCTACTGGTGGGTACGTAGGAGGATTCAAGAGATCAGCTGAAGGAGAAGATGACGAAGAAGAAGATTCTCCCAAGTGATCGGAGAATATCTCCATAAGGGTCACTAGGGGATCATCTACCTCTTCAGACATTCTTTGTTAAGGAGAGGAAAAACGTTGAAGAAAAGAGAAAAAGTTTGAGTAAAGAAGAAAAATGGAAGCGTTCTTTAAATAAATTAAATCACGGACTACGGAGTGTTGGACATGATTAAATGTAATCTTGGGAATTCGGAGCGTTATGTCACATCTGATAAGGGCGGCTATACATGCACTTAATGAAGAGTAATGAGTGAAAAACAGAGAATCAGATTTTGTATTTAATGGAGGATCGTGTGAACAGTTGCCATTTTTAAGGCGGATACACTATTGGCACATGTTATACAAAAAAGAAAAATAAGAAAATTAAAAAATTACATGTGTTGAACGAGTTACATTAGTTCGGAGCCTACGTTCTCGACATTCTCTACGACCCCACATACTTCAATCTCTTGAATTGAGCCATGTTCCACTTCCAAACTCGTAGGTTCGAGCTCGACTGTTTTGGTAGCTCCATTATGCGTTTGTAGGTTTATCTGGTTGAGCTTCATATTCATTAAGTTGTCCGAGTTCGGAAGTGCGCTCAGCAAGCTTTCCCATTACACATTCCAAATCTTGATCGAACATAGAGACTAGTTGGACAGAATTGACATCGGGTGCGTGGCTTTTCAACCAATAAACCGCATAGCTCAAACCATTATATTCCAAATCTTTCTCAAGCTCCTTAAAGTCAGGAAACTGAGAAATTGTCTCGTAGAGAAGGTCAAAATTCCTTAGCTGGTTTTCTGCGTTGACAAGTCTGGACTTAGAGTCCGCCAGTTTTGTTACGGATTCTACAACCATTTTCTCGGACTTGCGAAATTTGGACTCGATTTCAGTCAGACTTGATTTAACCCGTCCAACCTTGGTCTTGGCCTCCAAAAGCTCGAGCTCGACTTGAGATCTCCTTTCAGCTTTAGATCTCAAAAGGTTGTCAAATGAAGTCTTGTGTTCAGTCAGGTTAATTTTGAGCTGCTCATTTTTAGATTTCACTTCGACGACCTCAGATAGCAAATGACGGTTTTCCTCGTCCAACCGAGTTTGTTGTTTTTTGTATTCATTATTCTTTAGAATGCTCTTTTCAGCTTGAGCTAAAACTGCAATTGTTTTACGCTTCAAAGTCTGGAATTCCTCTTTGTCATTCATTAGCGCTTCTTTCTCCTTCTTTGTAAGAACCCATTTGTTGTTGATTTCTAAAAATGGAAAAAAAATATATTTACTGGAATTGTTGGAGTTCATAAGGGCATTTTGGGCTTTTGGCAAGAAAAAAAAGACAAAAAAAGAAGAAAAGAAAAGAAAAGAAATTTAGGTTGTTTTATTGAAGTGATACGTGTATTGGTGTGGGATTTGGTATGTGCGACAGGTGTGTAAACAAG